ACATTAAAAACCAATGAAAATCAGTACTCTGTGATATATTTGTGTCTCATTGTGTTAAATAGACAGCACGTTTGAGACGACAGAACTAACTGCAGCATGAGCTCAGAGGCCTGCAGTAACAACACTGATAAGTATCAATAATTATGTTAATCAGGTTTAAGATCTTAATTTACAGTGTCAACGTTTGGTAATTAGTTTCCCACTGAGCCTGACAGCAAAACCACAAGCTGCTGGTCAAAAACCAGGAACTAAACACCTGTGATTTGCTAATGGTGAAACCCTAAACACATCACAATTGAGGACCACCAACAGAAATGTTAAAGTACAATTTAAATCCTCATCATAAACACTAAGATTTATTGTCTGCATTTAATTGAAGTTTGTAGAAAATCCACTCATCAAAGACATTTCAAATTAAAAACCTAGCATGAAACAGCACATATTGCCTTCTGCTTTTCTTGCCAGAGGTTTAGACTAAGATTGTCTTGTTTTCAGAAATGCTTGAACTGTACCTGTTTTATCAAAATCTTAAAATATGCTGTTGTTTGTGGTCTCACACATTATCAAGAGATCACACCAGAATCTGAAAATGTTGAAGATAAAACTCATGTAAAATCACATCAAGCTATAGCTCAGTATCAGTAAATTTGACTAATTATGGACTTTTTTCCTTATTTTGTTTGCTAAGATCAATTAGCTGTGGTGGCGATTGTGGGTTGACTCTAAATGTTAATGAGTTGTAGACGGGGGTCCAATAAATACATTCTAAGAGTTTTATTATAACTTGTCTAGTCATCCATGGCCTATTTTACTCACAGGCAAACATGGTTGATACCAACAGTTAATGCTAAATTTTAAGATCTCATGATGTTCAGTGCTTGGCGTTTGTGTGGGGTATGTGGCTCAGCTACTACCACATCAAAGTTTAGCTCAGTATTTGTAAAACTGAGCAATATTTGTGTTTCCTAATATCAGTGGGCTGTGACGACCATCTTGAAATGGGGTTGATTCCACAAGTTAACCAATTATAAATGTACCCATTGATTGCTTTCTGGAAGTTTCATGGAGACCCATTCATGCTTTTCTAAAAGACAGACGAGGCTAGGGTTACCATCTGTCCCATATTAGCCACAATGTCCCGCATTTTCACCCAAACTGAAGTGTCCCGTACGGGACGCTCCTGTTATACAAATGCAGCCTGCAAGCAGAGCCATCCCAATACGGTAAGTAGGAACTTAAGTGAATAAATGCAATGACCATACAAAACACTGAGGGCATTGAAATGATTGGTGTCTTGCAGTGGAATGGGTCCCGTGACAGAAACAGCTTCCTTTGACATGTTTACTGAACTTATTCTTGAAAAGTTATTTTAAATGCTTTGAAAAGTTTAATAAATGTTTTTATTTACATTTATTTACCCTTCTGTTTATTCTGGCCATCAGCAGCTGTAAAGTTGTAATGAAAAATAAAAAATAAAAACTTTGTGTTGATTAAATCCTTTTTCAATCCATCAGGTGGGTGTAACTGAAATGTTGGAGTAAAAGAAAAATGTTGTGCGGTGATGTCATAAATGACACTTTACATCATTAATTGACAAATTACTTTATGTCATTTTGTCCCATATTTTGGAGGGACTGAGGTGGCAACACTAATCAGAGCTAACTTCAATAGTTAAATGCAAAGATCATGTATGACTCAGAGTGTAAGTTATGAATGACTCTTACTAAAATATCAAATGTTTGCTTGGTATCTATAAAAATGACAGAGCTACCACTGTTTTAGTTTGCTAATATAACATAGCTTTAATGACCATTTTGAACTGAGTTCACTCTAAATGTTTGTGGAGAACATCCCGTGATTACTTCCTGAAAGTTTCAGTATAATCCAACCAGTGGTTCATGAGATAGTTTGCTAACACAAAAAAAAAAAACACACAAGTGCCCACACTGTCGAAAACATTATCACTCTTTCACCTTCAGTGCTGGGCTGTAATCACACCTCTCTGTCTCAATATTTACAGCTGAACTAGAAGAGCTGAAGGTATTGGCACAGTTTCTGGTGGATCTTTATATCTCCATTAAAATAATAATAATCTGTAGACGTGTATTAAAGGAGAGACTGTAGGTCACTGATACACGCTGAGGGCTATGAATAAAAACTAAAGGAGTCAGAACATGTGAGGAGGATAAAGAGTTCTGTGAAAGTGTGACTGGTGTTTTGTTCACAATGTCATCCCTTTAGACTGATGAGTGTTAATTGAGGAGTTGTTCGCTCTCTTATTAAGCAGTTCTGTCACCTTGGAGCAGTTTCAACAACTGTCCCAAGGTTACAGCGAGCTGCGTTCACTGGAGCTATTTGACAACGGCTTTAATCAGTGCTACAAGTTCAGAACAGTTCTACACATTACTCAAAGTCACTCTTTATGAGAGGGCAAATGTCTGAATTAGTCTCATCAAACCCCGCTCAGACTTCACACAAACAGCACCCTGGCACAAAATGTATTGGATAAATCTTGTGCCAGCAGGAATTGAATTTGAATTGCTCAGATTGAATCTGAATTTGCATAATTTGAAACTGAATGCATTGGTTTGAAAATAAATTTTACTAAACTGAAACTGAATTTAATGGTTTGAAACTGAATTTAAAGTTTTGAATTTAAATAGGTTTGATTTGAAACTGTAATTTGGTCTATTAAAAATTCAGTTTGAACACTTTCAATTTCACTTCCAAAATTCAGATTTTTGTGTCACACATCCTGGTCCTTGAGAAAGCCAGGCAGAGTAATCAAACACAGATCCACAGATTTAAGTTTCACCTCAGTGAAGTTTCCCTTCTGTATGTAGCAGAGTTGATGCAATCCACCGTAAAAGTGACAAAAACAGTTATTTTATTGCAGTGATTAATTTTACCTATAGAAAGTTTTACATTTACGTCACATCATGGATCAGTCAGCAGCAGCATCTGATCAATATGTGATCCATGATGTGATGTAAATGTAGCATTTTCTACATATAGGTCAAATTAATCACCGCAATAAAATAACTGTCTGTTTTTGTCACTTTTACAGTGGATTGCATCAACTCTGTTACATTACAGAGGGGAAACTTCACCAAAGTGAAGCATAAATCTGTGGATCTGTGTTTGATTACTCTGGCTGGCTTTCTCAAGGACCAGGATGTGTGACACAAAAATCTGAATTTTAGAACTGAAATTGAAAGTAGACAAACTGAATTTTTATTAAACCAAAATACAGTTTCAAAGCAAATTAATTCAAATTCAAAACWTTAAATTCAGTTTTAAATCATTAAATTCAGTTTAATTTAGTGAAATACGTTTTCAAACCAATTCATTCACTTTCAAATTTTGCACTTTCAGATTCAATCTGAGCAATTCAAATTCAATTCCTGCTGGCACAAGATTGATCCCATAAAAATGAACTGTTGTCTGTATGAAGAGTTCAAGACAAGAACACATTTACTGATGATGTTTTGAACTCTCTTGTTTTACTCTTGCTATGTTTGAGGCCGATATATCAAAGTTCACGTAGAACAGGCATTAACACAAAAACGAACATCAGTATGGACAAGTCAAAGATTTTTCTGCTTTATTATAATCTAAGGACTTCTTTGTGTCGAGTACAGTGTTACATGAGGCCAAATATTCTGACACAATAAAGTCATCAACATTTTAATAGCTTCTCTATACTGTAAATGAGGATGCTGTATCAATATACTTCTGAGTTCAAACTGAAAAAATAAATTTCTCTGATGTCTTGTGTTATTTATGAAATGGTGATTTAAAAAAACAACTTTTTTAGATTTACGATACATTAGGTGTATTTGTACAAAGTTTCAGTATCAGATCAGTATCACCAATACAAGCCAGAGTTTTACTTGGTAACAGGATTGGAAAGGATGTTGGTGGTATCAATCACCACTATTTATAACCCAAGTGTATTCAGGTTTTGTGTTATCCTGTTTATGGTGTGTTTTTGTAATAGCAGTACAGCACCAAATACAGGCCTGGTATATACAGTACTACAGAGTTTTACCACCTTTTATTGGTGTTTCCGTGTGGATGAAGACATTTTTAGAAACAGTGCTGTTTTTACAAGGATATTTTTAGAAGCATCAAATTAAAAATATTGTTGGGTCGGTGGGTAACAGCTGAAAAATGAACCCACAAAATAATCATCTAATGCACATTTATGTTTACCTTTTGGAGACGTCATTTAACATGGCTGCCACAGCTGACCTCAGCCAACACAAACAGGACTGTAACTCAGTCAGTTTTACAAATATTGACCTGAACTTTGGTGGGTCAGCAGCTGAGAGTCATTAGCACCACATATTTTATTATTGTTCTATTTTGACCTCAAAAGCTATAACTCCAAAGTAAAATGATGCTAGTTTAAAACTCTGGCATGAAAAATGAAAGTAAATAGATTTATGGACAAGTAAAGTAAAACTGCACCTGAATTATTTGAACCATTACCTCATTCACTGATTTTCAGCAGAAATCAGAAACCATCCTTTGTTTTTGTTTGGGAGGATAAAAAAAGATATTTTTTTGCATTGTGCTAAACATCTCACACTTTTTCTGTTTTACTTTGACTTGAACATTATTATTGTTCCTATACAGAAACTGCCATCTGGTGCAACCTAATCACATGATGTGCTTCACGTAATAATCTTACACTTGTTCAGTTCAGGTCAAACATGGTTCTGAAACAGAAAGCTGAACAAATCCACTAAAGCTATAAGTTTATCTTATGAATCATGCACAGACGAACCCCCTCTGGACTCCCCTCAGTCAGCACTGTATCAATTTGCACTCCTTCTACAGGACAATCAATAGTTCATGATGTAAAGATTATGAAAGATTGTTGGGTTTACTGAGAAAACTCCTACACAATAACTTCATTTTCATTCTCTCTTCATTCACTCCTCTTGACGTGGATAATGGATTCAGATGGACAATCAATCAGGAAGTCGACTCACGTTTGTGGTTGCTCTTGCGCTGGAAGGGCAGTGTGTGTCGCTCCGAGTCTTCTTCACCCTCTTCATCAGCCAAGTGTGTGTGAGTGTAATGGTAACTCAGGCCTGGGCGGTTCTTATATCGTTTTCCACAGACTGGAAAAAAAACACACACACACATGCTGCGTGTAAGCTTGGTTTGAAGTAACTGTGTTTTTCAGAACTGGTTCAGTACAAAATGATGTGGTACGATTTGGTATTTTTGCGTTTTGAAAATTGTACCACGTAGTAGATACTAACTGGTTCTTTTTAAATGTTAACTTAGCTAATGTTTCAGACAAGCAAACCTGATACAATACAGCATCTTCAAAAAGTATTCAGACCCCGTTTGCTTGAATTTAGTTGACACTGCAGTGAGCAGAGAGCAATAGACACACAATAGACAACAGCACCATCACCAAAACAAGTACATTTGAATAATTAAATGGAATCAGCTTGTCTTAGATGTGAGACAGGCGGGTTTGAGGAAAATGGGGTTGGGAGCCACTGATTTAAGTGATTGTTGCATCAAGCTGTAACATAAGAAAATTACAAAAAGGTGAAGCGAGTCTGAATACTTTCTGTATATGATGTCATTAAACTGCTGCAGGCTGCTGGTTGGCCAGGAAAGATCATCAGCTGTGACCATCACATGGACCAGAGGTGTACAATCCTGGTCTTCTTAGACCACCATTCTGCACTATGTTACGGGTTTCTCCGCTCTAACTCACCTGCTTTGAGTGAACGTTTGATTTACAGTCTTCTGCAGAACTTGAGGAGATCATTCAGTAATCCTCTTGTTTTAAATAATCTGCACGGCATCCATGTTCTTTTATTGTATGTAAGTAAACTTTATTTATTTAGCACCTTTCACAGACACAAACATCACAAAGTGCTTAAAGGGCACCTATTATGCAAAACTCTTTTTTTTTTTTCATATTTTTAAACTTACTTTTGGGTCTCTACTGCTTAGAGAAGACGTCCAAACAACAACAACAACAAAAAAATGCACCCAGCCGTTTTTTAGCTGTAATTACATGTATTTTTAGGTATCTGGAAACATGGTATTTCTCAAAGCACGTTATTCTGACGTCACAATAACAGCCGCCTAGCAACCTAAACCAGAGTCTTGCTCCTTACGAGGCAACCCGAGGTGAAGCTCCGCCCACTTCTTCATAGGACGATAGTTGTGCTTTTTTTACAGCAGCCATGGAGAACAGAGATGCCTGGATTAATTTTATTTTTACCTTTGATGACAACGTTCTAACAATATTGCCAAAGAAAGTTGTAGTTTGTGAAAATAATTTCCCTTTGAAAACTTCTACCATGTCATATAACTAAAAACAGGTCATTAATATAATAAAGAAAAATAAAAACAGAAAATAAGTCTTAACTAAAAGCCTGTCTAAATAAAAATTTCTTAAGATGTTTCTTAAAAGAGGACAGAGTGAGAGCGCTTCAGAGCCTCGGGGCCACCACCTGAAAAAGCTTTGTCTCCACGGGTTTTATAATGGGTTCGAGGGACCATCAGCAGCATTTGATTAGAAGACCTCAGAGTCCTGGATGGACAGAGAGGCTTCAGAAGGTCCAGTATGTATTTGGGGGCCTGACCATGAAGTGCTTTGAAAGTTAAAACTAAAAATTTTAAATGACTTCTCAAAGTCACAGGGAGCCAGTGCAGAGAGGCTAAAACAGGTGTAATGTGGGCTCTCCTGTGGGTCTTTGTTAATAACCTCGCTGCAGCGTTCTGCACAGACTGAAGACAAGCCAAGGAGGATTTGTTTAAACATGTAAAAAGACTGTTGCAGTAATCTAAACGAGAAGAAATAAAAGCGTGAACAACCATCTCTAGTTCCTTCTGTGACACAAAAGATCTCAGCTTTGAAATGTTTCTTAGATGATAAAAACAGTTACAAACATTTTACCAAGAGTGTCAAAAGACAAGGAACTGTCAATAACACCCAGATTTCTGAGACTATTTTTCTCAGAAGGAGTTAAAAAGCAAGGTGCTGCCTAATTACAGGGATTTTATCATGTGGGGCAATAATAAGAGTCATGTTTGCATTTAACTGCAGGTAGTTGTTCAGTTTTGATTTCTGACAGGCAGTTACTGAGTTCAGACAGTTTGTAGAACTCAGAGGAGAGGAAGAGTACAACTGTATGTCATCAACATTCATATGTCATCATGGCACATTATCCATGTTGTCCACAGAGGGACCAGATTGACCCTTACAGACTCATACAGATAAAAAAAGGTCATATATGCTCAGAGATGGAGCAGAAACAGCGGCTTGATGAATCTTCTGAAACGTTTACACACAGTTAACATGACATGTTGGGTTGATTTGTGTGCATGAGTCACAGATTGGATGCATGACTAATAAATTCATGAGCATATTTATTAACCACAAGTGTAGATTTATGGATCGATTTTGTTTTTCCTCCCGTGACAGAGGGTGCACTATGAGGGTTGTCACAACCACTCCCAAGAAATAGTCATGTCCTTCTGTGATAGCCTGTTGCAAATCATTCAGAGCAGGAACCATAAAATACTACTCATAAAACATAGTACTTTGGACAAAAGTATATGTTTCAATCAATATACAGCAGCCTAAAAAATACATACAAAAAACCTATTTCTTTGTCACTGCAGCTTCAAATAGACTGCAGTGTCTGTTCAAACAAATGTGAAAATAGGGATGTGTAGTGTCTTTTAGTCATAATCTGACTAAAATGGGTAAATTTGAAGAATAATTGTGGTTGTCATGACTGCCTCTTTTATTTTAACACATGGTCTAATGGTGCTTTTCCAACTGGGGTGATTACACAACACCTACCACTCACCCCCACTCCTGAAAACAACAAAATCTACCCAAAGTATCTCAGTCTGTTTCTGTCATTGTAGTTCTTTTTGCCAATTACTTTATTAACATTTTTCTTTTATTTAGAATAAAGTGTCTCTCCTTCCTTTTAGGCCTCATTGGATCAAATCAAATATATAACATGACCTATATGGAACTGTTTTAAACCAATAAAAATAACAAACGAGATGTTCTTTCAACTTGTATACATTTCTTAAACATGGAGCTGACATTTACTTAAAATGTAAAGTGTAACAAACTGAATTGATTGAACATTGATGTAGGTATTGATATTTATATCGTTCCCAAGTATCATTCACAAGTATGAGTACTAGTAAAAATGCTGGTATTGGAACATCACTGGTTGAAACGATTTGAGTAAAAAGAAAACCATTACCGAATAACTACTTTGAATTGTGTTTTTGTTTAAATGCTTATCTCCATAGGTATTAGTTGAGAGTCTGCAACACAAAATGATGAGAAAATGTGCAAATCTTTCATTACTGTCTAACTAAATTCTGAGTTATTGCAATGAATCAACCAGGGGTCCACAAGGTTGTTCTTTGACCGCACTATTTTTACAAAACTGGTCACTGTGTGTATGGCATGCAACTCGTTTATAACTGGCTCAGTCCTCTTTGTAACCAGGGGGCCACGCCCATGTTTTTGATTTATTCTGCTAAAGTGAACTTTTTAAAGGAAGTAAAGCAAATTTGGACAAGTTGTTTCATCGTTATTTATCAGTGTGGGTTTCAGACCAGGATGTTTGTCTCATCCCCTGTAAAATACAGCTTTAGTGTTCTTGAGACGGGTTGGAGACGCCTGTGAGGCACATTTAAAACTCAAGCGACAGGACTGTGTCTGCGAGTCATGAAGAGAAAATAACCATTGCAACTGTTGCAAGACGTTCCAGAGACTCCCTCATGAATACCACAGACTAGAACCCAAAGAAATACAACCTTAATATGAAGCAGGGCCGAGCTGAATGGAAACAAGATGCATCTGCAATGAATGATGAAAAAAAACACTCCAATGTGTGAACAAACAGTCTGAACCAACAGAAATAACAACATATAATATACTACATTACTCACTGTCACAGACGTAAGGCTTATCTCTGTCTTCAATGGTGGGCAGCTCTTGTCTCTTTCTCATGCCTCCAACACCATAGGCCTACAACACACACACACACACACACACACACACACACAC